GTTGCTACTTCATAACTGTAATTTTGCTACTGTTATGAATCGTAATGTAAATATCTGATATGCAGGATGTATTTAGGTGACCCCTGTGAAAGGGTTGTTCGACCCCCAAAGGGTCGAGACCACCAGGTTGAGAACCGCTGCTCTAATCCTTACTGCTCTTCTTCTCCTTCTGGCACCCCTATTATACATACTAGTATGTTACCTTGTTTCGTGTTGTCCCAAAGCTCCCTTAGGCTCTCCTCCTGCTTTTTAATTTTTTTTCTCCAGTTGCTGTTCAGATGGGCTTGTTTCTATATCTTATCTTCTAACTCAGTAATTCGGTCCTTTGCTTCTTCTAGTCTACTGTTGAAACCTTCCATAGCGTTTTTGATTGTAGCTATATCATTTTTGATTTCTTCCTGATTTTTTGCACAGGTTGTTGATTTTCTCATCCATATGGTTTATGAACTGAATGACCATTATTCTGAATTCTTTCTGTCATACTGCATGCCTCTGTTTCACTTATTTCCTTTCTTGGTGATTCCTTTTTTTATTTCCTCTGGGGATTGTTTTGCTGTCTCCCCATTCTAACTATCACTAGAAGGTCCAAAAGGCAAGTTGCGGGGGCCTGAGGCATGTGCAGTGGGAGCGTCGCACCACCCGAGTGTCACTGGAGAGCTCTGACATCACGGTGTGTGGCTGCTGTGGGTCGGTGGGAGCCATGCATGCTGAGAATCAGAGTCATCAGTGCTCAGTGCTGCCTCTCGTGTGGAGAATCAGGGTCCCTGGTCTACTTGGAGAGCCGGGTTGCACAGCCACTCTGTGTCAGGGGGAGGCCCACTCCTGCGCGTGGGAACCAGACTCCTGTATGAGGGCCCAGAGTTGAAATCAGGTAGCGGAGCCGCCCTGTCTTGGAGGGAGGCCCACTCCTGCGCCATGGGAAACAGAATCCCTTGTGTGTGCGCAAGTCCAGAGTCAAAGTTAATTTGCACAGCCGCCCTGTGTTGGCAGGAGGCCTGCTCGCGCAGAGTGGGTCTGGCAGGTCCTATGCCACCGCAGCGGGCCGTCGGGGAGGGAGATGGGCTCTGTGACTCACAGAAATCTGCAGGTGGGATGTCCGGACTCTTGGTGTCCATGGGTCTGCATCTGTGATGGCAGGTCTTTGTCCCAAGTGGTTGTAAGGTCCTGGATTGCATCTGAGACCAGATTGGGTGGTGGTAAGGCTGGAATCCAAGTCACAAGTAGTTCTGTTCTTCAAGATGGCATGCTCTCTGCGCCTGCCCTGGAGTATCCGTGGTGGCAGTGGGGTTATGCAATCCAAGACTGCCCAGTCTGGCAGCCCCCTGCAAGACCCGCAGTATCTAACTATCCTAAACTCTCTGTCTCTCTCTCTTACACACACACACACACACACACACACACACACACACACCACACACTCCTCTATCGCTCCCTCACTCTCTCACACATTCTCCCTCCCTGCCTTCTTGCCGGTCGCCATCTTTTTTGCAGTGCCAGTGAATATTTAATCATTTATTGGATGATCCTGTTAAGAGCGTTGCTCAGAAGAAAAAAAAAAAAGAGTGTTGCTCAGGCATATCAAACTAGACCCGTGCCAATTTAACACCTTTTTTCCATTACAAATTTGTTCTCCCTTCTACATCTCATCTGTTGTATATCATTTAAATCTGACTTTCTTTCCAGATACGCCTGTAGCTAAAACATCTCTATCCAATTGGTCATTTATTTCTACTATTTCTACTTATAAGATGTGCCCCAAATTTGATCCTCCACTCATTGCCAATATTTTAGTTCAGGACTTCATTATTTTCACTTGAATTATTGCAATAACCTGGGAAACAGACTCCCGTGTGTGTGCAAGTCCAGAGTCAAAGTTAACTGCATGCCTCTGTTTTACTTATTTCCTTTCTTGGTGATTGCTCTTTTTCTTTCCTCTGGGGATTATTTTATTGTCTCCCCACTCTAACTATCACTAGAATGTCCAAATGCCAAGTTGCGGGGGCGGGAGAGAGACCTGGTCTCTGGGTACTCAGTCTCTATTTCTCATCTGTTCTCTATCCTTGCTCATCAAAACATTTTCTGAAACATAAATTTAATCACCTCACTTCACTTGTTAAAAGTAAACTGGCTATTAACAGATCCTAAAAAAGTGAAGACAATTAAATGCCATCCAAATAAAAAGCAACTTATTTCTTAACATGATTAAAAAATATATGGAAATGACTGGATAATACATGTCATGTTGTTTCTCAAAACGATTTTTTTTCAATGTAAACCATTTAATTCTAAATCAAATCACTTTCCCAACAGTGAAAATTAGCAACTGTTCAAGGTATGCCACTGTACATGGTGTCCTTTTCTGTCTGTGGCTGGGACCTGATCCTGATCCACAAAGGCAGCAGGAGTAGGAGTAGAGACTAAGAACATAGAAAACACACAGAAATGAAAGGAAAACTGCCTTGGCAGGGGGCAAGGTGGTGAGCCTGCAGAGGGGTGGCGAGAAGGGGGCTCTATTTCAGGGCTGGGCCAGCAGTGCCAAATCGGCTTTCCTGCCCCAGCTCCTGGCAGAGGATGAGTGGGGACCTAGAAAATTAAAATCAAAGAGCAGGTAGCCAACCTGGCTTTGCTACTTGGTTCCTAGGATACCACTGTTGGTAGAGCTCATCTGGGCTCACTTCCTTTGATTCCAAGTGATTATACCTTTTTAAATCCACACCTGAGGATATATTTTTATTGTCTTTAGAGAGAGAGAGAGAGAGAGAGAGAGAGAGAGAGAGAGAGAGAGAGAGAAACATCGATTGGTTGCCTCTCTTATGCATCCTGATCAGGGATTGAACTTGCAACCTGGGTATATGCTCTGACTGGGAAGCAAACCTAAAACCTTGGAGCTACGGGATGATGCTCCAACCGAGCCACCCAGCCAGGGCTCTAAAATGTTTTAAAAATGGGTATTGAACCATGCAAAACAATGTTATATTAATAATATAATACTTGATTCAGCATAGTCAGAGCTATAATGCTTGGCACGGGGTTAATTTAGCTCATGCAAAACATATGAATGAATAAACTGGACAAACTATTTCACTATTCCAACATAATTTGTTGTTTAATTAAAGGAAGGGTCAGGTGATAATTCTGTAATCATATTTGAAAAAAGTTTTTAGTAATTTTAATATATATATATATTTTTTTTAAAAAGAAGATACTGAAACAGGAGGCTTACCTTGCAAATACCCTGTCCTTATTTGCTTTTTCTTTGCCATACTGAACTGACTGGACTTCAGTTCTCCCACTGAAATACATAAATATGCACAATAAAATACTGAAGAGAATTATAAAATAACACACCACGTAATTACATTACATTCTCTTAAGAGATAAGATATTTCTAGCAGGGAAAAGAAAGAGGATAAGAAGGAAAGACTGGAATACATTACAGTTCTACCTGAATGGATGAAAATTAAGTTCTCTCATTAATCAATAGAGATGTGTTCCATAGACACTTCCTTATTTGGGAGTAAATGTGAAATAATTTTGCATGAGAAGAATTCCTTCTCTGCTATGCCCTATAAAAGCACTCCCTCTAGACCAGTGGTTCTCAACCTGTGGGTCGCGACCCCTTTGGCGGTCGAACTACCCTTTCACAGGGGTCACCTAAGACCATCCTACATATCAGATATTTACATTAATAACAGTAGCAAAATTACAGTTAGGAAGTAGCAACGAAAATAATTTTATGGTTGGGCATAACACAAGAAACTGTATTTAAAGGGCTAGAAGGTTGAGAACCACTGCTCTAGACTGAGATAGGCTGTTGTGTCTCAGCTCATCTAAGCCCTGCCCTACCCTAGAGCAGTGATGGCAAACCTATGACACGCGTGTCAGAGGTGACATGCGAACTCATTTTTTTGGTTGATTTTTCTTTGTTAAATGGCATTTAAATATATAAAATAAATATCAAAAATATAAGTCTTTGTTTTACTATGGTTGCAAATATCAAAAAATTTCTATATGTGACACGGCACCAGAGTTAAGTTAGGGTTTTTCAAAATGCTGACACGCCGAGCTCAAAAGGTTCGCCATCACTGCCCTAGAGTGCTGTGGTTTAGCTGGTGTCTCTACTACTACTTAATGAAGGGCCTGAAACATGGACATCTTGAAGAATAGCTCTTTCCTTAGACAAGCTTTTCCTCCTTATCTACTGATAATGGTTACAGATACAAAGACTGGTTACATTGTGGTCAACCAAAGAACTTGTATGCATATATGCATAACCCATGGACACAGACAATAGGGTGGTGAAGGCCTGGGGCAGGGGCACGCTAAAACTGGGGGCGGAGGGGGGGGAACATATGTAATACATTCAACAATAAAGATTAAAAAAAAAAGACTGGTTACATCCCCATATTCTTTCATGTCTAGACAGAAAAAAATTCCAGATTTTTGTATATAGAAAGGAACTAAGAACAGAAATATGATTTGGAATTGAGCACTATAGAGGGTTTGTCTTGAAGCTGAATTGTCTAGCAAGCACACTGTTTATGCACGGGAACTGACACTCCATTGTGGTACTCCAATGATTCCAGACCAAATCCTATATAATAAAAGCCTAATATGCAAAGTGTCCGGTCGTCCACTTGGCCATTAAACAATCAAAGCATAATATGCTAATGATATGCTAAGACCAGTCTATTGCTCGCTATGATGTGCACTGACCACCAGGGGGCAGACACTCCAACCAGTAGGTTAGCTTGCTGCTGGGATTTGGCTAATCAGGGCTAAGTGAAATGGGCCAGACATGCCCTGGAGCCCTCCCATGTCCCTCCCTGGCCCTGATCGTGCACCGGTGGGGTCCCTTGGCCTGGCCTGCACTCTCTCACAATCTGGGACCCCTTGGGGAGATGTCGGAGAGCCAGTTTTGGCCTGACAGCAGAATGACTGGTCACTATGATGCGCACTGACCACCAAGGGGCAGACGCTCAATGCAGGAGCTGCCCCCTGGTGGTCAGTGCACTCCCACAGGGGGAGCGCTGCTCAGCCAGAAGCTGAGCTCACAGTTGGCGAGCACAGTGGCGGTGGTGGGAGCATCTCCCACCTCCACAGCAGTGTTAAGGATGTCCAATTGCTGGCTTACGCCCGCTCCCTATGGGGAGCGGGCCTAAGCTGTCTGTTGGACATCCCCCGAGGGCTCCCAGACTATAAGAGGGCACAGGCAGGGCTGAGGGACCCTCACTGAGTGCACGAATTTTGTGCACCGGGCCTCTAATTTGTTAATAAAAACTTCGTTCTCAGAGAATTTGCTACTTGACACATCACATTTAACTGCGAATGTACATAAATGTCTAATATATCAAATATAAACATTTACATATGCAGATATCTAATACATATAAAAGCAGCCACATGGGCTTCCAAAGCTAAGCAAACAATTGTAAGATCATCTTTCATGGATAAGTATAGCTAAATGTAAATAGAATGGCATGTCTGTTGAAATTTTAATGGAAACGTTAGAAATGTTACTATGAGCGTCAGGATGGCCGAGCGGTCTAGGGCGCTGTGTTCAGAAATGTTACTATGATTTTTAAATTTAGATAAGTTGAAGTTTAAGAAATTATATTTCCTTTAAGAAGAAGAAATTATACTTGTAACTGCAAATAAGGTATCAAATTAATATTCATCATTTTGTATGTCCACATTAGTACAATGATTTTAATCCCCTGGATATCTTGGAACAGAGATAATAAGGGTGTATGTATGAGGAGGTTGGTGGAAGAACAAACCGTGTGATATTCCAACTTCCATCTCTCAATCGAAATAACATTTCAATATTTTAAGTATTACGTTAATTCTAATATTTCCAACCACTGCTTATTATGAGGGGAAAAAATCTTTTACTTAATGCATACTCTCTGCAATATGACTCTGTCCAGGTAAACTTGGTCATGCTGCCATTGCTACCTCATTTACCAAATTATTTAATCACTAGAGGCTCAGTGCACGAAATTTGTGCAGGGGAGGGGGGAAGAGGAAGGCCCCTCAGCCCGGCCTGTACCCTCTCCAAAACGGGACCCCTCAGGGGATGTTCAACTGCCTCTCACAATCTGGGACCACTGGCTCATAACCACTTGCCTGCTTGCCCCTAACCCCATCTGCCTGCTTGATCGCCTCTAACTGCTCCCTTACCAGCCTGATCACCCCTAACTGCTACCCTTCTGGCCTGATCGCCCCTAACCACCTCTGCCTCACCCCACTCCCGGGACCCAGGATTCCCTCCTCCGGCCGTTCGCAGGCACCAGGACCGGGTCGGCTTCAGCCACAGGGGACCATGGGCGAGCGGCTTTGCCTGGGCCGCAGCCGCAGGTGCCTGGGACTGCGGGGTGGGCGGGTTGTCCCTCTCCCAGGCCGCAGCCCCAGCTGCTAGCGCCAGGGACTGCAGGACGTGTGGCTTGTCCCTCTCCTGAGCCAAAACCTGACTGGTTCCCATTCCTCTTTCGTGAGCTCATTTGTGCCTGGCTGGTCCCCATTCCTCTCTCACCAGTGTTGAGTGTGTGAGTCGTTACAGCGTGATGACCATTTGCATATTAGCTCTTTATTATATAGGATTCTGATGATTAAAAAGTGCTTTCATAATGTTTCCAAAGTTCTTTAAACTACAAATATAAAACAATTTTACAACTATAGAATACTGTATATGGCTAATATATACATAAATTTAACTTAATATTAACTGAGCTGTCACAGGCCTCAATCCTGTCCTGTGTTCTGCTAAGTTTTGCAGGAGACTAGAGGCAACAAACTCTTATTTTCTACTTTCTTTTGCAAGTTGGCTTTCAGGTAGGTTCTGCTTTTATTCTGATGGGAGATTAGAAAGCAGACCAAGTCAAAGCAGAACACTGGCTGAATGCAGTAGCTGCTGAAACAATATGGGGATAGGACACAAGGATAAACAACATGATGTCCATGGTACCATCCTGATCAAAGCAGGACCTCTCTGGCAGGTCCAGAATTAACCAAGATATTGTCTCTAACAGTGTAGGAGCCGATGCAGCTTGTGGACTCCGGCACAGAGGTAACACAAGCTTATGATCCTAAGGCATTACCCATTCTTCCTATTTGCTTCTCCAAAAACCATTCTTCTTTATGCTTTTCCAGCCTAACAGACATGTAATCAATTCCCTCAATTAAATTGCTTTGATTTAAAAAAATCAAAAGAACTTTCTGTATACTTGACTCATAAATTAATTCTCCAGTGAAGTGGATCCAAATGGGACACTATTACTCAAAAGGCTAGATATTAACAAGTTGAATTTCATAAAAATAAAATTGAAATATGAGGGGACAATTACAGGTTTAGAATTGATATTATCCATAATATTATTCTCTAGGAGTTCAAGATTATTACTACTTATTTTCCATTACAGTTTACATTCAATATTAATTTCAGGTGTACACCATAGTAGTTAAACAATCATATACTTTACAAAGTGGTCCCACCTCCCTGATATTTCAAATACCCACCTGGCACTAGATATAGTTATTACATTATTTACTATATTCCCTATGCTGTACATTACATTCCCATGACTATTTTGTGACTAACAATTTGTACTTAATTCCTTCACCTTTTTCACCCAACTCCACAACCTTTCTCCCATTTGGCAATCAGTCTGTTCTCTGTATCTATGAATCTGTTCCTATTTTCTGTGTTCGTTTATTTTACTCTTTAGATTCCATATATAAATGAAGTCATATGGCATTTATCTTTCTCTGCCTGAATTATTTCACTTAGCATAATACTCTCTAGGTGCATCCATGCTGTCACAAAAAGTAAGATTTCATTCTTTCCTTAAGGCCAAGTAATATTGCATTGTATATATGTACCCCCATTCTTTTATCCACTAGTCTACTGATGGGCACTTGAGTTGCTTCCATAGCTTATGTATTGCAGATAACACTGCAATGAACATAGGGATGCATATATTCTTTCGAATAAGTGTTTTGGGCTTCTTCAGATATATATCCACAAGTAAAATTGCTGGCTTATAAGGCAGTTACATTTTTAATTTTTTTATGAACCTCCATAATATTTTCCACAGTGGCTGCACCAATCTGCATTCCCACCAATAGTGCATGAGGGTTCCCCTTTTCTCCACATCCTCGCTAACACTTGTTGTTGATGATAGACATTCTGATAGATGTGAGGTGATATCTCATTGTGGTTTTAATTTACATTTCTCTGATGATTAGTGATGTTAAGCATCTTTTCATATGACTACTGGCCATCTTTGGATA